ATTGCCTTAAGACAGTGCTTTAGGAGGTGATTAATAAATTAATTAAGGGATGCGGGTGGCACTGTGGTCTAAACCACAGAGCCCAGGGCTTGCCGATCAGAAGGTCAGCAGTTCGAATCCCCACGATGGGGTGAGTTCCCGCTGCTCGGTCCCTGCTCCTCCCAACCTAGCAGTTCAAAGTGCAAGTATATAAATAGGTACCACTCCAGTGGGAAGGTGAATGGCATTTTCATGCACTGCTCTGGTTCGCCAGAAGTGGCTTAGTCATGCTGGCCACATGACCCGGAAGCTGTTGTCCGCAACTGGACTTAACATTCAGGGGTCCCTTTACCTTTAAATAAATTAATTGCATTAATATCATTATTAATTGTCTGGGCTTTTCTGCATGGATCGGGCAGAACCTTCTAAATGGCTTGGCATGTGCAAATGGAGAATAGCGTAGGCTCCTCTGTCCTTTTGCCAAACCAAAGTGGCCCTCAACCCAGCATTTCTATTTTGGCCTCAGCAAAAGTAGGCCAAATAAATGCAATGGAGCCTATTTAAAGGTGATGAAAGGGGGCTCTTGAGGCTCAATACAGACATATTAAGTAACAACTTTAATCCTCCAAGAAAAGTGCCCACAGCTGAAGAGGATCGTGTATCCTTCAAACTGTACATTGTGCATCTATGGAGGTTTTTCCAGAACAGGACATGCAGTTGACAAGTTCTCATTCTCTGGTCCTCAAAATTGCTATACGAAAAGTGGCTTCGCACATTACCAAATGTTGACGCAGGACAGAGTCCCTGTTTGCATCTCCTCGTGCACATAAAGGGATGCACAGCATGTATACAAGGTTGAGTAGACACCATAACCTTGTGCTGTAATTTTTACACAGGTGTCTGACCTCCACACATAAGGACCAAGGTGTGGGTTTTGCATTCTTTTCCAACATGGGCACAACTTTCGCAAACCATCACAAATGCCTCCAGCTCCTCAAAATTAGAAGTTTGCAGGTGTGTGCAAAGAAAGAAGAGGGGATTGCCACATTACATGTGTGGCTGATTGCCATGCCCATGCTTCATTGGTAATGTTTAAAATGCCCCCATGCCCCTCCTGGAGATAAACTTGAAACTGAGCCAAAGCATCTGCTATTGAGACTATTGCATAGGAGTCTTTCGCTGTTTACTCCTGATTTCAGGTCTCTTCCTCTGTTGTTTTTCTCCTCTGGCCTTTTCTGCACTATACAGTGGTGCCTCGCAAGACGAATGCCTCGCTAGACGAAAAACTCGCTAGACGAAAGGGTTTTGCGGTTTTTGAGCTGCTTCGCAAGACGAATTTCCCTATGGGCTTGCTTCGCAAGACGAAAACGTCTTGCAAGTTTGTTTCCTTTTTCTTAACACCGTTAATACAGTTGCGACTTGACTTCGAGGAGCAACTCATAGCACGCGGTGTGGTAGCCTTTTTTGAGGTTTTTGAAGACTTTGGTGGTGTTGGGGAGGGGTTTGCAAGAATCTGGAAGCTTGTGTGTTTTTTCCTGCATTTTTATGATTTTCTGTGACCATTGGGCCACTCTGCTGTTTTTTTAAAAAAAATTCTGGATTTGAATTTCTGTGTGGTGGGTAGCTGGGGGAACAGTTGAGGAGGGGTTTGCAAGAATCTGGAAGCTGGTGTGGTTTGTTTCTGCATTTTTCTGATTTTCTGTGACCATTGGGCCACTCTGCTGTTTTTTAAAAAAAATTCTGGATTTGAATTTCTGTGTGGTGGGTGGCTGGGGGAACAGTTGAGGAGGGGTTTGCAAGAATCTGGAAGCTTGTGTGGTTTTTTTCTGCATTTTTATGATTTTCTGTGACCATTGGGCCACTCTGCTGTTTTTTAAAAAATTCTGGATTTGAATTTCTGTGTGGTGGGTGGCTGGGGGAACAGTTGAGGAGGGGTTCTTCAGCAAGAAGCAAAGAGTGGAAGAGGAACCTTCTTCGAGTTGTCCCCAGAGTCTTAGAAAATGTACTGTACACTTTGTTGATTTTTAAATGTTTTTCTGTCATGTTTAGAAACTTAATTTATTGTTCCTTCAATTTTTGAAATGCTCTTTACAGTATGTGTGACTTTAAAGAGCACTTAATAAACTCTTGTTGTACCAAATTTGGCTTTGTTTGGACTTTTTTGACCATAGGAACGCATTAATTGAATTTCAATGCATTCCTATGGGATTTCGTGCTTCGCAAGACGAAAAATTCGCTAGACGAAAAAACTCACGGAACGAATTAATTTCGTCTTGCGAGGCACCACTGTACATTTAAAGCAGTATTATACTGCTCTAAACAGGCAAGGCTTTGTTTGTTAAGGGTCCTGAGAGTAACTGGGAGACCCCTATTCCCTTCACAAACCTACAGTTTCCAGAGTGGTTTAGCAATCAATCCATCTTCCCAGTAGTGGGGTGGGAGAACGGGGGGGGGGGTCACATCTGACAACCAATGTGCCCCTTTGGTTCCAGATAGCACATGGGTAGACAAGTCTTAAAAGCCCGGGACACAAATTTTAATGGTCTTCTAGCAGCTATGGTGGCTCACTTACAGAAGTAATGTATTTAGAAGTAATGTATTTAGTATTCTCTGGAAGTGTATACTCGATTCTGACCAAACTAGGCCTCCTAGAGCAAAATATACACCAGGAGGCTTAGTTTGGTCAGAATCGAGTCTATACTTCCAGAGTTAATGCTAAACACATTACTTCTGGTAAACGAGCTGCTAGAGGGCTGTGAAAATTTGGGTCCCAGGCTTTTTAGACTCATCTACCCATATACTTTCTGAAAGCAAAGGAGAGCGTTCAGCTCTCCTACCCCACAACAGGGTTCTCTGAGAATTGTAGCTGTGTGAGCAGAAGAGAGGTCTCCTCCTAATAACTCCCAGAAACCTTAACAAACGACAGTTCCCATGTTCTTTGGGGGAAGTCATGACTATTTAAAGTGGTAAGATACTCCTTTGAAGGGACCTCTGTCAATTTTTAGATTGTAACCACCTCGGGGGGCAGAAACCTGGCGTCTTGTACTCAGTAAAGTGCCATGCCACCTGGTGGCATTTTGTGAAAAATAATTTATGCATTTTCTACATCATATGCTACATCTCCTTGGTTGCTAATCCATAACTGATACAGTGCATAGCTATCTCATATCATCTCCTCATTTGAATTTTTGCTGATGTGGCATTAGATCTAGCAATTTAATAAAAGATAGGGAAGTGTTGGATTAAATGACTCTTTGCTCCAATCTCTCTTTAGAAACTGAAAAGCATTTTGAAGTTCAAAATATCCTGGGATAGCCAAGGGCCTGATTGGAAGTTTCTGAGGGCCAGATGGGAGCTATAGGCTACCATAAGCAGATTCCTAGTGCCCAGACATGGGGCAATTCCACCCTTCAGGATTGGAATTAGGAAGGAACTTGCAACTGAAAGTAATCTCACTGCAACACTCTTTGGTCCATGACGGATAACTGCAAAAACTAGACTCGGTAGCATCAAATCTTGTGAGTCCCTTTTTTGTAAACTTAATTGCTTTTCTCCTTTGTTCTCACTCTGGGGTGTGAAGGTTTTTAAAAGATGATTTTTTAAAAACAAAACAGTGCCTCTATGCAAGCTCCCCAGACACCCCTTGAATTGCTTTATGCTGTTTCCCTCCCTTCCGTTACTAATGCATTTTTAATCACACAATTATTTTATTATGCGGTACTTGTCATAAAACACACTATTGTCTAACCTTAAAAGGAGTCTCATCAAATTAGACTATTGAGAGAATCAAAGAAATCTGAAAGAAAATCAAAACACCTGATACTTTGCAAGCAGTGTTTTCAACTTTTTTCCCTCCCATTAATGTTTCTCATGTTCTTTCAAAAACAAGAAACCCAATTTTCTCTCGGGGGTAACCTTTTATTTCATAATAGGCTTGCTTATAATATACTTCACTTTAACATTTGTTCTCATCATTCGTTTCTTTTTAGTTAATGCATTTTTGTGTCTTTATGTGAACTCTCATTTGTTGAGGGCTGCTGTTTTTCTCCCAGCTGAAACTCTTTCATATGCTGTTAACCAGGTTCTTTAAAATGTGATTTGGGGGACTTTTTAATGACAATAATCTATGTGCAGGTCAGTCCGAAGCAAAATCTTTATTAGGGTGGCTTTGAGCCAACAATTTTAAAGCTATGACTCCCTTAAACCCTGCATGCAAATCATTTAAACTGTGTTCCACTTGAGAATCAAATCTGGGCTGACTTCGAAGGAGAAAGGAAAGCTCCTAGGTGGGAGGTGGGAGACTCCACCATTTTCTGTGTGAGACAAGGGTTAAGGGCTACCTTTGCGAGACGACTCTGGGTTTTCTTTTCTCTATTCTCCCTCTGTTTTTGTTTTTATTTAGATTAGTTTCTTTTGTCTTAATGTATTATGAAAAAGCTTTCATAAGTCTTATGGGGTGGATGAAATCTGGGCAATGGGAGATGTCAGAAGGGGTTACAAAAAGGCTACAAGATGCCCCTCACACTTTACTTCCATTACAAACCATCTGTTTTTGAAAAAACGAATGCCAAACCATGGTGCTCATTGAGCTCTTATATGCTCTGTCTTGCTTGGGAAGCAATGCTCTTTTTGCATACCAGGTCGTACACCAGGTCCCATGAGATCTCATGGAACTGTCCAAGTTCCTGCAAGATCTTGTGGGGCATCCCAGGTATTCTGAAGCCGACATGCAGAGAGGGCTTTGGTTTCCTAGCAAAGCAGAGAGCTTTTAAACTTCTTCCTTGCTTGCATTTAACCTGAAGGACTTCAGCCCGTGGCCTTCAACCGCATCAGCTCTGCTGCAACAGACCAGGTCCATCAGGCCTCTTTTCTCTCAGCTGTCATCTGGAGGCAGCCATTTTACCAGGGATTGGAAACCGAGTGTTCATTGTATCACCTTTGCTAGATGCCTCGCTCCATCACTTCCTGCCTCTGAACTATGGCAGCTGGTCTATACAGGAACAACTATCTAGAAATTGGTGTCTGAGTTTTTAGTTTTATTTTCCTCTTCCCTCCTTGTCCCCCTTTTTCCTTGTGTGTTGTTCATTTTACTGACTGGTTGATAAGAATGTAAGCCTGCAGGTACTTGCAGGTGTCTTGTTTTGATTTAATATAAGCCACTCTGGAAGCCTTTTCTGGCTGAACAGCGGGGTACAAATGCTCTAAATAAATAAACAATATCGTTAAAGTGGCACATAAGTCAATTACACATAAGTTGCAATAGTACCAAATGTTATTTCAGTTTTAGACCGTGGGCTTGCAGGGGGGACACACACGCTCCTGGGAGCCAAACTGTTTTGGGCCCCCTCAGTATCTTTTGGGAGGGGGCTGGGCACCCCCAATGTTGAGGGGCTGGAGGAGGCTGAGCACTGAGCCAAGTGCAGAGCCGAGCATGGCTCCAGTGGCCAGCTCCTTCTCCTCCTCCAGCTGCTGCAGAGGTGAAGGAGGGTGGAAACATCCTCTTGCGTCCTGACAGTGGCGGCTCCAGGAGGAGGTGGACGAGGAGCTGCCGGCCATTGAAGCTGTGCAGCCACCGCATTTGGTTCCATCCCCCAATGTCCTGACATCATGCACACGACGTCCCCCCACCCATCACCCTCACAAGCAGGCACCTCTGCTTGGAAGACTGACATCACTGCTGCCAGAACTTCAAAAGCCAGTTTAGCCAGTCAGAAGCACTTGGGGGTGGGGCATGGATTGTTAGTTTCTGTGTTTTCCCACTGTGCAGTGCTTTTGGAGTCACAGGACTCTGTTTACATTCCAGAGACATTCCAGGCTGTTGGAAGTCTCACGGAAGACAGGAGACGGATGTGATGTTACTGGTTTCCTGTTCCTTTGTTTTCCAGTTGTTCTCTGCTTTCACAGAGAGAGGATGTATTTTTCTTTGCTGTCTGCGTAGATAAAGCATAGCCATGTAGCCATAAATCTCATCACTTCCGTGTGCTGCTTTGATTCTCTGCTGAATGGGGTGTGCCTGGAGCCTTATCAGTGGCTCAGGTCGTCAATCACATTGGAGGGCAATTCCGGAGGACGATGAGCTTTATCAGCTCGGTTGAATGCAGATTCTGACATGGAGCAGGGCTTGTGAGGGGTATGACCAAGGGCCACATAGGGAGGCCAGGAGGGCTGCTCCCCCGCCCCCAATCTGATCTTCCCCACCGCTGCTTGAGCAGCAAGAAGTTGTATTCCAAAATTTCTGGAAGGTACCAAATTGGAGGATGCTGCTGTTGCCTCTCTGCTCATTTTCTAAAGTGCTACGGACCAGAAATGCCTCCTTTGTAGATCTCAATACCAACAGGGAATTGGGGGGGGGGGCTGAAAATATGATGAGAGCTTTTATGATGAGGCCATGAATTTTTCTTTTGGGATAACAAGAGAGAGGGCACTGCAATTTAAGATACCTCTCTTTTTTTCTCATTACGCTCCTTTTCCTGCTTATGCGTAAACTTAGAGAGCCTTACCCAACAAAGTGGTGCTCCAGACACAATTCTGATAAGATGAGGGATCTATCTGACTTCAGCCGCCCCCTCTGAAACATCCTTCTTTCTTTCTTTTTTACCCAGGCAAAGAGTCACCGCGGCGGATGTGAAGTGGAAGCGCATTTAGGAAATAGATTAGGAGCGAAGGGCGAGCGGAGCTTGTGCTGTACGAGATTGGGCCTGGCTGCATGCATCTCTTATTAACTCACTTGAACTTTGCCTCTCCCCTCTTAACTCTCCTGCTGCTTACCCATGTGGAATGCAGAGTGAACTACAATATCTAATTTATTTCTCTGTCTCCTGTAGGGCCAGTCTATAGCATCACCAGACTGATGTCGCTGTTAAAGCTTGTGCGCGCATGTGTGAATGCAGGTGTCTGGGGGAGAGGGGATCTGGGCTTTTTTTTCAGGGGGAACTCAACGTAACTCAGCTCTTGCACCTCTCAGGTGGGTGCCATTGCCATTCCAAGAGAAAAAAGGGGGCATACATGGTGAGTTCCGGCACCTCTTTTTCCAGAGGTGAGTTCCAGCACCTCTTTTTTCCAGAGTGTAACCTGCAATCTGGAATGCCCATGAAAATCTTTTCTACTGGAATCAACCCTTTGAGTGTATAAACTGGTCCTGATGTTCATGTACACATATACATAATTGGCCCATTTGTTTCCAGAATAGCAATTTATTCCTGGAAGGATGAAGCACACAGAAAAGCAGCTCCGCTCGCTCAGCTTCCAATGACTTCAGCCATTCAGCATTTTAATCGCAGGAGAAGGTCAGCTGTACCAAACTTCCCTTCCCTGCTGGTGTCCTTCTGTCCATCTGTGCTGCAGACAGGTGGGTAGCTCAGATGCCAACGCAGAAGCATCTGTTCTTCCCACTATTTCCCTACTGCCACCACTCATGCTTCTAGGTAGATCAGTGCAAAGCAGAACAATTGCAACTTTATCTTTTGCAAGAGGCCGTGGCTACCTGATGCTTCCAGTTGCAAAGACTGTCTAAGGTGGCATTAAATATTCCTTCTTTTCAGCTTTGACTCTGAATTCATTCATTTTAGCAGGGCTGAAGTATTTCCAAACAGTCACTTAAATTATATAAATATGCACTTTTTTCCAGTCATGTTTGGCATGTTCCTGCTTCTCTGCCTTTTCACTCCATGGCCACTAATTTTTCTTTTTCTTTCTCTACAATTAGTTACAGGGATAATCCCAGCCAATCAGCAATTGTGTGGTGGATGGAATGATGTCACAATGCCAGTGGTTTTTTTTCTGGGGGGACACATACCCCTAAACATTTTGTGAATCTAAGTTTGGCCTCATTGAGGGGCAGTATTTAAATATGAATAGGAAAATGAGAGTACCCCTAAACATTTTTTTAGGGGGGGAGCACTGCACAATGCTACATAGAATTGCAAAACAAAAACCACAGACAGCATCTAAAATGAAACATCCAACACAAAACAAACAAACGAAAACACTGACAGCATCCAAAAACAAAGAAAACATTTCTCAAGATCCGGGGGGGGGGGTATTTTCAGAACAGCCCAACATGTTTCGGCCAAGTGAAATTGAAAAAATGGCCTACAGAGATTTCTGCAAAATATATCTTCCATACAGTTACAAATCAATGTGTAAAGGACATTGAATAACTTTTATTGCACAGGTCCTTAGACCACAACAGCACAAAGCAAAATAATAAAAGGGAAACCAGGAAACAGAATTTGCATAAATGCACATAGAAATCACTACTCGATGTTTGAGATTTGTAATTAGTAAAATCAGCAATCAGGATAAAATAAAAACATATTAATGTTAAAGCATTAAAAAAATTTATAAAATAACACACATTACTGATTTAGTACAAACCATGATGAACAATGCAAAAGTAAACAACGAAGACAGCCTGATATAATGAATGATAATAAACTATCAATAAGGGAGTGGCTATTTTTGTGATAATGAAGGATACTGAACATGTGCAGCAGCAATATAGCTAGCAGATCTCTGCAAGCTGTTTTTCAATTTAACCACATAAGGCCTTTCAACAATTACCGCTCACCCCTTCTGAGAGGTGGGCAGGGTTTGCGACCCAGCACGGGGTTTCCCAGGACCAGGGTGCCACCCACCTTGGCTACAGGGTGGCCTTCACCCTGCCCCCATCCCAGCAGACCAATGGGCTGGGGGCGAGGGCCTGAAAAGGGGCCCCCACCCACTCCCAGCATCTTGAAACAGTGCCACATAGTGAATCAGATCTGGCAATGCTTACTGTTGGGGGAAAAAACCTGTAGGAGTTGAAAGTCTTGGCATTCATCAAAGCGAAGTGACGTGCTTCAGGTAGGGAAATGGGGTAGATGAAGGCAGGAAATGGAAATAGTTAAACTATGCAATTCGGTCCCACGGGAGGCAGAGATGGCCACCAACTTAGATGGCTTTGAAAGAGTAGGAAAGAGTCCTTGGCCTATAAGGCTACTAGCAATATTAGCTATGCCCTGCGTCCACAGCTGAAGGCAACAGTGCTTCCAAATGCCAGTTGCTGGAAACCATGAAGTGGGGAGTGCACATGTGTTCAGATCCTGCTAGCTGGATAGGACTAGCTGGGCCCATTGTCCTGATTTAGGCAGCTGTTCTTATGCTCTTGTGGGAGGCAACATTTGTGTTCCACTTGAGGTCACACAATGATCTTGGGCCAGGATGTGAGGGCGATCTAGTTGCGACATCTGTCACCCCATTGATCGCCAGGGTTGATTCGGCTGATCTGGCTGGCTAGGCGGGTGTCCCCTTCCTCCCTCACCGCTCCATGTGCGTCCCTCCCGAAGCTGCGCACTCGGTGGAAGAGGACGACCATCCCAGATAGAAGGAGTGTACCGTTCTTCGGTCAAGGGTATACGATAGCTGCGCTCCCCTGCTAGAACCTCCAAACAAGCTCACAATGATCTTGGGCCAGCACCGCAACTGAGAGCAAAGGCCATGCTTCCTGTATTAGTCACATGGGGACTGCCACTCAATCAGGGATCATACAGTAGGTGGGATGATGTCACAATCCTATTGGGCTGTGTGATGTCATCTTAGAGCAAACTCAATAGAAGGGGAGCACAAGGGAGGTTAAAATAAATGAGCAAACGTGTGTGTTCCAAAAGTATCTGAAAGGGAGCTATTTTACAACAGTGTCAGAAAGGTCTTTTGAAAACCCACTCTATGAATCTATTTCAGCCCCGCTAAGTATCATTGCATGCCAACTTCCAAGCTAAAAAACTGCTGCATGTCAGCTATCAAATACAGACAATATTTGGAAATCAAATACCATGAGATGTCTAATACATGCATCAGCTACTGGCAAGTATTTAGGTAGTGAGGTCCGTGTCCCCTGAAAAGGGGGTGGGGTTAAAAATTGTAAGAGATAAATAAAATATTTGGCATCAAAATTCACAGAGCATAATTTTCCAAGAGCAACTGCGTGACCCAACTATGCCTGGAAGCACACAGACTCCCCATTCCCTTCTCTAGCAAATACACCCTTCTCTGGCATGCAGGATGGTGCTTTTGGTCCCATTAGCCCATTCCACAGCCCACCAGAAAGCCTCACTGTGGACAGGTGCGCATAGCCTCTCCATGAGGCAAGCTCTTCCGATGAGGGAAGCGGAGAATTCTTTTGTCTCCTAGCTGAACATGAGAATGCAGCCTGGGGGCGTGGAACCTGGCAAGCACCCTGGCTCTCAGACGGGGCTTTGAGCAGGGCCAAGCTCAAATTAGTTTGCTTGCACCCAAGTGGGAAACTACTTATTTGGTTTCTATCCCACCCTTCATCCTGTAGGAGAAAATGTATGTGCAGGGAGAGAGGGGAGATGGTGGGGAAGGACCATAACTCATGGGCTTTGCATGCATAAGGTCTCAGGCTTAATCCCTGGGTAGTCCTGAGAGAATATGCAACTTGCATGCAAATCTGTCTCCCCTTTCTTGGTGATACCTAAGTGGCCACCTTAATTGTCTGGCTGCTTATTGGATTGAGCTTTGTTCTTTGTTACAGAAAACATAAATACCTTATTGGTCTGCATATGGGCCACACTTTCCTCCCAGATCTGGCTTGTATAAAACCTGAGTGCAGCCTGTCATCATGCTGCTATTGGTAGAGCTGCGATTTAAGCTAAGACCTTGGGAACCCCACAGAACTTCGGTAAACTTCAGTAGTTTTTGTAAACGGATATTTTACGCCCTTCTCGACAGGTGATGCTGGTTGCCCAGTGAATTGTTCACTATGAGACAAGGCAAGAGGTAGCGTTTATTTTTTTAGATTGTAAAAAACACTGGATGGTGCCAGAGATTTACAGTATTTTTCCCCCTTTCAAAGAGATCTTGTTTTAGGGGTGGCTTATATTTGGACCAATGCAGTATATTCCACTGCCACCAAGCACTCTGTGCTATCTACTGGGTTGAGAGAGCCCTTGCCTCTCTAGACCAATTTGTTCAGCTGTGACTGAGCTGGGAGCCCAGGCCTCTTTGACTCCTTTCAGAATCCCCGCTTTGATGTGGAGCCCTTTGAAGTCTTCTGGGTTGCCAAATTCCACACGAGAAGCTTGAAGATTAAAGTCACTGTGTTTCGCTTGTGACGAAGCAGTGTTGAATTATCATTTGGTTTTCTGGCAGTGGCACCCACTGAATTCATGGAAAGCTGATTCATGTTGCTGCTCTTTTAAGGAGCACAGGTGAACAACAGAATCAAGTGGTAAAGCTTTTCCAGGACTACCATTTTCAGTGGCCATCAGGGTGGAGGGAGCACCACACTGCATGTTCGACTGATGTATAAACACCTCCTCTCCGTACCTTCCAATATTTTAATATATGAATAGGGTATGTCTGCAACCTGGATTCAAGAACAAAGGTATTTACCATCTCTAAAGAATGGTTCGTATAGTTAAAGCTATGGTTTTCCCAGTAGTGATGTATGGAAGTGAGAGCTAGACCATAAAGAAGGCTGATCATCGAAGAATTGATGCTTTTGAATTATGGTGCTGGAGAAGACTCTTGAGAGTCCCATGGACTGCAAGAAGATCAAACCGATCCATTCTGAAGGAAATCAGCCCTGAGTGCTCACTGGAAGGACAGATCCTGAAGCTGAGGCTCCAATACTTTGGCCACCTCATGAGAAGAGAAGACTCCCTGGAAAAGACCCTGATGTTGGGAAAGATGGAGGGCACAAGGAGAAGGGGACGACAGAGGACGAGATGGTTGGACAGTGTTCTCGAAGCTACCAGCATGAGTTTGACCAAACTGTGGGAGGCAGTGGAAGACAGGAGTGCTTGGTGTGCTCTGGTCCATGGGGTCACGAAGAGTCGGACACAACTAAACGGCTAAGCAACAACAACAACAACTCTATTCTGAACTTAAAAATGGAAAGCGTAATGCTGGTGGTCAACAAAATAGATTTAAAGACTCTCTCAAGGCAAATCTAAAAAAGTATAGTATAAACACCAACAACTGGGAAACACTGGCCTGCAAGTGCTCCAATTGGACACAACTAAATGACTAAACAACAACAACAAAGAATGGTCACATTGGCCAGGTAATGCAACCAGTGACCAGTATCAGCAGGGCCAGATTTAGATGAAGAGAGGTCCTAGGCTACTCCACTTGTGAGGCCCCTCCCCATCCCCCACCCTCACAACTAGAAAAAAATGGAAGAGTGTTATAAACAAAATTGAGTGAACGCAAGGATGGCGACGGGTATTTAAAATTCTACAATTCACAATTTCTCCTCTAAAGGACATAAGATATTATTGTTGAATACCATGGTGATTTTTAAAAATGCATAAAATTAACACTGAAAAACTTTTGCAAGAACTGAACTTTGTAAACCTTTTGTGGCCTGAGCAGGCCTGGAACTAGTTCCCATGTCTTGTTCCTCTCTAAGGAACCAAGTTCAGCCTTCATGGCATTTCACCATGGCTCAGCATCCTCTGAGGTTAAACTTTGGACCTCTTGGAAGCTTGAAGGTTCCCAAACCTTCTCTAACAGCTGTATCTGCTTTGACTGTTTTAGCAAACTCTTCAGCACACCTTTTGGGTGGTTTACCCTTTGTGGCCCTTTCAGATCTGCATACTATACACAAGTCTTCCATGCTAGGCTTCTCCACTTTAGCAGGCAGGCCAGGTCGTCCCCTTATTTACCTGCTGGGATTGACAAGGCATCTGACCCTCACCTGAATCTCATAACTCTCTTGTAGCTGCCTCTGATTAGTTATCATTTAACTCTTGGGAAAAATAATTAGCATCACACGTCATGTGCATGGAAGTTGCCGAACCAATTAACCAGCGAGAAGGATTACTGTTAATAGCACCAGTTTTCCTCTAACTTGATATTGCTGGATAGTTTTGATGAACTGCAAAAGCATTTTTAGTTTGCTTTCTGTTGCCACCCTGGAACTTTTCTTTATTAGTACCATTTTGTTTTGTATGATTCCTTGCAAATGAAGGAAAACAACCTTTCTGCTTGTATATGTTGATAATATAATTTTGGTTACTGAGGACAAACAAGATTGTACAAAAACAAGATTGGGTGCAGGCCTGGCCAAGACATAGGCATCCTGATTTTGACAAAGGTGACCTGTGTGCATGCTTGCTTGATTAACAGCTGTTAGGAACTTCAAGGTGCCTGCTCTCCCTTCATATGGCCTTGGTACTGGACCTGGAGACTCTAATAGAGAGCATTCCATGTCAAGAAGGAGGGCAAGTGGGCACCCTATCAAGTGACAGAGCAGGAGCTACACGGAGCAGGGCCTTTTCACTGGTGGTGACCATTGTATGTCTCGCTCTTCCCAGACCTGCTCTCTTTTGGCCTGTATTTTGGAGCTTTATAATTTAGGAAGACTTTGGAAGAACTGGTTGACAAGTCTTATCAGTTGCTGACGTATGAGTGGAGTTTATTTGCTGCTATTCTGTGCTTCTGGTGCACCAGGGTTTACACCAACGTAATAGAGTTGGCCAGGATGCCAGAAGGGATACCATTTAGGTGCTTTCTCCATTATCTGCACAGCAGGGGGTGTTCAGTCAACAGTGCAAAGGCAGGGCTGAAGCGCTCCCTGCTGGTTACCTGCTTTCAGCAATAGGGGTCGCTGTTTGGTAGTACCCAATTGGTTAGCTGTCAGATTCTAGAGCTCCCTATTGGTGGCTCTTAGGTAATTCACAAAATACAGAGTCCATTCATAAAACACAGTGTTCATTCATAAAGCAGTAACATAAATCTCCATTGCTACATATTGGGTGTATATTTCAGCTCCCTATTGGTGGCTCTTAGGTAATTCACAAAACAGTGTTCATTCATAAAGCAGTAACATAAATTTCCATTGCTACATATTGGGTATATATTTCAGCGGTTGAACGTACAAGTTTAAGGCCATGCTGTAGTGTAGTGTCTATGTGACTATGAATAAAAGGTGACTGGGCTCATTCTCTTGGGGTTTGGGGGGGAAGAGGTGACAAAACTGATTTCCAAGAAGTGCCCCCTTTTATTTCCATAACAAGTCCTTGAGTCTGTACTCTGAATGGTGACACCAGGGACCTAGAAGGTGCAGGGCTTGTCAGTCCAACCCCTGCACAGTCTCATCAGGGCTGACCTTAAGGCAATTGGAGCAATTGGGCCAAATTGGGCCTCGCAGGCCGCTCCTAAGGGGGCCCCTGCACCAGGGCAATCTAGATGGATTTTATTTATATCTATAAGATTTTGCAGACTTTGGCTGTGAACTGGGGCCCTACAAAAAAAAAAAATTCAAGTTGCGCCCCACTGCTTCAAATTGGGCCCCACTGGCTAGCCCTGAGTCTCTTTGTTGCTGGGCCTGAGTTGCCCTGCCCTTGCATGAAGTCTTGGGTTTGCAATTTGGGAGAGGGGAGACTGCGGCACTGGGGAGAGGGCAGGCTGGTGAGGCCTCCTAGATTTAGAGACCTTATTCTTCATCCTACTTAGCCTATACTTAAATCCGGCACTGAGTATCAGCTATCTTGTCAGGAGACAAGCCA